CCCGCCGCCGCCTGGCGCTGGCCAGCAGCTCCAAGCACCGCTGCCTGCAGAGCGGGGCGGCCTTCCGCCGCGGCCTCGGGCCCACCCTCGACTTCGGCGGCGACGGTGAGTGCCCGACACCCTGCCCTGGGGAGGGCCTTGGCTTTTACTGAAGGACTGACGGATTCGCAGCTCTCCCAAGGGGATGGGAGACTCCTGTCCCTCCTTGAGGGCGCGCCAGGTGCTCTCTGGGGGCCTGCTCCCTGAGGGGGTGAGAGAGCCCCATGGCCTGACTGAATGACTCCCGTGTCCTCCCTGGGGGACTGGGGCAGCCCCTGGCCCTCCCTGAGGGATTCCCGGCTCTCCCAAAGGGGATGGGGGTGTCTCACACCATCTCTGCTCTCCCTGAGAGCTGGGGGAGCCTCGATCCAACCCTGAGGGGGCACCATGATCTCTCTGAGGGGCTGGGGGACTCCTGATGCCTTCCTGGGTGGCTGGAAGAATCCCTTCCTGAGGGAGCCCCCCATGCTCCCAGAGGGGTTGGGGATGTCCCCTGCTCTCCCTGGGGTTGAGGGAAGCCACAAGACCAGTCCCACATCCCCTATGCCCAGGTTGAGGGGGACCCTGCATCCCCTCCATAGGGACTGTGGTGAGTGGGCTGTCCCTTGGAGGGTGTCACGGTGGCCGTGTGCTGGTACCCTTGGGGATGGTGGTGCTCCTCCTGATGCCCACTTTTCTTTCAGAGGTGGAGGTTGAAGTTAACGACTCCCTGATGCGGTTCTTTGATCACTGTGCCAAGTTTGTAGCCCTGGTGGAGGAGAATGACACGGCCATGTGCCAGGTGAATGCCTTCAAAGAGGGGCCCGAGATGAAGAAGGTCCGGGAGAAGGTGGCCAGTGCCTTGTGTTTGCCGGTGGAGGAGCTAAATGCAGGTAAGGAATTCCTGTTACAGGTGGCTTCGGCTCCAAGGCTGGCCAAGAACAGACTTCCAAGATGTGTAGTTATGCAGAGGAGGTAATTTAAAGTGGCTGTCGCTTGGAGATGCAGTCTCTAATTAAGTGCATGAGACTGTAAGTCTGTGTTGGTGTTGCAGTAATGAATGATTGTTGGATAGCAGTCAGAAGAAAAAGATGTTTGAAAACATCTTTCCTTCAGCTGAAATCAGTTTTACCTGGTTTTGGAGGGATTTGAGTGTTTTAGTTTTACTTTCTGGAGCAGGTGTAGCTTTTGTGAAACGCATTACAACTCAAGCACGTAAATGACCTGAGGAAAAGCAGCCCTGTGTGTCTGTGTGGTAACTCACCTGTCCAGAGCAGAAGTGCTGGGTTTCCCTGTGTTTTCAAGTGGTGGGAAAAGCCCCCCAAAATAAGTGTTGCTGTTGGGATTGCAACATTAGGAACACTCTGGAAACAAAGTTCAGCCTTGTGCTGCTGCTCCTACTCAGCTGCTGATGTGGAGGGGAAGTTGTCTAAGACCTCACAGCTACCCTGTGCTGACTCTTCTGACCTGTGTGGCTGCACCAGCAGCTGACACCTGTTACACATCAGCAGGTGGGCAGCATTTAATGTGAAATGCTCTTGTTTTCCCCTTGCAGTGATGTAATGTGAAGTTTGCAGTCCAAAATTTTGATTTTGCGCAATAATTCTGCTAAACTGTGTATTTTTGGTGCTTCTTTGTCCTGCCAGTTATTTATTGGATTTCATTGTTTGCATTGTGAAACAGTAATTGCAATTCATTTTAGAGGTAAACTGAGGAGAGGAAGTTGCTGCTTGTGTAGCAGTGGTTTATCTCTTGTTTGTTTGTTGGATTTATTGCAGATCTTGTTCAAGTGGCTTTCCTCACCTGCTCATATGAGCTAGCCATAAAAAATGTGACCTCCCCGTGGTGTTCTCTCTTCAGTGAAGAAGATGCTAAGGTACGTGGGGCTTGGAGCAACCTGCTCTAGTGGAAAGTGTCCCTGCCTGTGGCAGGGGGTTTGGAATGAGGTGATCTTCAATGGCCTTCCATCCCAAACCATTCTGTAATGTGTGTTTTTCATATGATAGAACCATGTGGTCACATTCACTCTGGGGTACATCAGATGAGGTCTTCCAGGGCCTCTAAGACTCTTCATTTGGTTTTGGGGAATATCAGCTCTCTTAAACCAAATAAGTGACTCTTGACAAAACCCAGTGGAAGCCAAATAAACAAGACGAATGTTTGTTCCTCTTTTTTCAAAACTGTCTGATGTAACTTCTAATGTTCAGTAAGGCTCCCCCACAGCCGTTAAGGAAATTTGCACCCCTGGGAAAAGAGGAGACCTTTGCATGGGGTAGGTGTTTGGCTAGAGGTTGGGCAGTTAGGAATAAGTGATATCCTGACTAAGAGGATCAGGGTCACCATGGGCTTCTGCTGAGACCTGCTCTGTTCAGTCTAGTTAAAAATAATTTAGCAGGGAGGTGGGAAATGACTTTGATGCCAGGAATTGTCAGGAAAGGCACAGAGAATGAGCAGAGTACCATGTGCTCTTGCATAATTCCAAGGCACATTTCTGTCTACTGGAGATGTGCACGTGTCTCTGGAACGTGAAAACAGACAAGCTGGGCTGAAGTTATGGGATGGACTCTTTGGGAAGAATGATGAGCCAAAGGCAAAATCAGAAGTGCTAAAAAAGCAGTGGATAGTGGGTGTCTTGTGATGTGAAGCATCTCACCTGTGATTGTTGCCAGACGCTGAATTTGGCCACTCTTTGGTCTGTTCTGTTGTCTGGGTTTGTGCTGAAGTAGTTTCAACTGGAGCCTCAATGTTTGGGGTTGTTGTCATTGCTGCAGGCTCTGAGCTTTCTGTTTTCCCTTGGTGCAGTAATAAAAACCTGTGAGCTCTAACTTTAGGTGCTGGAATACCTGAATGACCTGAAGCAATACTGGAAAAGAGGATATGGCTATGACATCAACAGTCGTTCCAGCTGCATCTTATTCCAAGATATCTTCCAGCACTTGGACAAAGCAGTGGAAGAGAGCAAAAGGTAAATCAAGACGCTTCAGTGCTTTGGGTGTGAGCTTTCTGTGGTCATTCCTGAGCTGGATTTCATGTGAAAGGAAGTTCAGTACTTCCAAACATGGCAACATTAGGGGAGTTGGAGCTCAGGGAATTTTAACAGCAAGAATACAGTTTTTACTGGAGCAGTTTTGCTTTCATTGATGCTTTTGTGCTCAGCTAAAGTATTTCCATCTTTTAACTTGCTGGTCCACACAGGCCTTCAGGGGACAGCCAACTGCTGTCTGACAGTGGTGTTCTCTTCTTGCAATTTGAGAGGAGACATTGAGTTAAAATGATGAGCTTTTTTTTGTTAAAAATAATTTGTTGCTTAAATGTTAATGTACAATCTGCATGCATGTTCTTACATAAACTGAACAATTAGAAATTAATGGTTAGTAATCGGTCACATGGATTAATACCTTAGCAGATTGGCATGGAAATTTTATGAAAGTGCAGGATATCAAGGATAGGATTATATAATGGAAGGAGAGTGACCAGTTTTGTTCCCTTTTAGTGTCACCAGCTGCTAAATTGGGAGGTGGGAAGAGCAGGTGGCTGAGGCAGAGCTCCCGAGCACCGTGGTAACTTTGTGTGTTTCAGCATTGGCTATGGAAGGTTCAGTTGCAACACCTGGGGCTCTGGTGTTGTTTTGCCCTCACAGAGGGAAGCAGGCAGTGAGTGAAAAGGATCAGGACCCTAAATCTTGCAAAATTCCAAGCTGGGTGAGCAGTCTTCAGGATGAGCCTCATCTTTAACAGGAACGGGAGAGCCGTAGGAGGTAGCTGAGCGCCACAGGAATGTTACTCCCTTCCACAACAGAAGGTGGCAGTCGTAAAGCACTGGAGACCTGGGAATAAGCTGGGTTGGGTAACCCTGGAGAGGATGTGGGAATCTACCAGAGCCAGCTTGTCTCTCTTGGAATCTAGGGAACAGAGATGCAGCTAATCCTATTTCATCTACAGAGAGAGATTTATCTCTTTTTTCATCTATGGAGAGACACCCTGTGGCAGTGTGAGAGTACAATGAAAACATGCAAATAGAAAGATATGCCAGTCTCTTCTTTCTTTTTATGGTGATGATCAACTTCAAGACAACATATTTTTGCAGCATTATCAGAAAATGAACTTTTGTGATGATGAAATGTCTTTCAGTGGAATGTTGTTTCAATTTAAGTGTTTAACATTGATTTATAACTGGCTGCTTGCTCTAAAAATTTAAGAACAAGAAAGTACTCTAAAAATTAAAGGAAAAGAAATTTACTTCCAGGGCATTATTTTTGCCCCAAAGTCTCTTTTTCTTCTTGGAAAGCTTAGACTGGGCTTTCCAGAAGTAAAAAGGGAAGCATTTATGTTCTGGGAAGAAGCTGAAAGATCTGGATTATCTGTTCTGCTCTAGACTTGGCAGTGGAGAGCAGTGTTGGCAAAGCTGTATTTTTGTAGCATACTTTATGCATTTATGTTCAGTAGCTTTGTTCTGTTTTCATTCCCAGTTATAGTGAAATTAAAAAGAGAGCCTGCTTCTTCTGTGACATGATTGTGGCCCTTGCAATCTGCTCACCAAACTTAGTTGCCTTATCAAAGCTTGCTTTAATTTCCTGGGGGAATACCCTTCCTGCTGATTAGTCTATGATTAAGAATATGGTGAATGTGGTAATAAATACCTATTTCTAATTAGTTTCACTTTCAGTTTGCAGTGCAGAAGTTTCAGATGTTTTCAGGCTTTTCCACCGTGTGAATTCCAGTGTAACTCTGGTGTCTAAACTAGCAATAGTCTCTTCTGTGCAGGTCTTGCTGTACAGCAAGATGGTGTTAAAAGCTGTGAAAGGGGTAGGCTGGGGGCCAGGGCTCTCTTTCCTCCATACAAATTTTGCTAGTTACAGAACTACAATGAAATTTATCAGAAGAGAGGTATATAAAATGAAGCCATTTCTGCTTAGGAAATACTTTGGTTAAAAGTCTCACTCATTACGTATCAAACCCATGTGATTTGCTGTACTGAAATGGTATAGCTGGGCAGTTGTCTTACATCTTCACAATTATAAAGAATTGTGTTTTTCCCTGCTAGGGATAGAAAATAGCCAGAGAAGCTGGTGAAGAGTTACTTTTCATTGCTGGTGTTCCCAGCATTGAGCATTCTCAACATTCCCATTGTTGAGAAATTCAGGTATTTTGGTACTTTATACAATATGAAGCTGCTCGTCTGATTTTAAAAATCATTGCAGCTGCACACTTGGGCAGAGATGGATTTGCAAATCAGTTGTGGCACACTGTAAAGCATATCAGCTATTCACTAAAGCTGTTTTAAACTGCCTGTATTTTTATTTTTTTTTCCTTCTAGCTTCAAATATTTAACATTAATATTTCTTGCTGGTGAAAGAATATAAAGTACCTGTTATTGCTTGTACTGTCCAAATGGGTTACCATAAGGCACTGGAAACTGGGAGGATGCTTTATGCAGCCCTCTCAGTATTTATAGTGTGTATTGATAAATACCAGCCTAGCTGCACATGATGTATTGCAGAATATTTGGTGATTGTTTCCTTTGAGAGAGTAAATGGGTCCAAGGTATTAAAATAAAAAATACTTACTTGAATTTGAATATGTTTCAAGATCGATTGAAGTTGATCTTTGTGAGTTATACCACAAAGATATACGGTAAACAGACCAATTTGGCAATTTATTGGTAGCTTTTATTGTTGCATGTAATTTGCCCTTCTCTTTGCAGGTCACTTCCCAACACAATAGGTAACATTACAGGAGTCATTTACTGCTGTGCCCTAATTGCTCCTTCCAAACCTATGACTCAGTACAAAGGAATAGAATGGATGATCTAAAACCACTTCACAGTTCAAAACTTTACAAAGGGAACTGAGCAAAAAGCTTCTGTGTGTACAGTAGCAATGAAATAATTAGATTGAAAATCCCCTTCTGCTCAGGTTCAAAATGTTCTCTCAGGTTTTTTTTATTAAAATCCCTTCACTGCTGCTGGGATGACTTTCATTAATAAACAGTTGATGTTTCAGTCAGCAGCTCTCTATCAGACTGTGTGATTGGCTTTGACTGCTCCATCTTTCAAAGGTGGAACTTCTGACATGACTAAAGGGAGATTTTGGGGAAAGCCAGAGTTGTTAAATTTACCAGAGATCCTTGTGGCATATTCAGCAGGATCCCTGTGTCTGCATTTCTGAAGTGTGTGCTGGCATGGCTCAGAGAGCTGGGCAGCCCAGGGTCTCTCCCCTGGGAATGTGGCTGTTCATCTGTCTGCCCAGAACTGGAGATTTAAAGTTTCTTGGGCCTTTCAGTGATGTCCTCAATCTCACATTAATCAATTAATATATGCTTGCTCAGGATTGATCTGGAAAAGTATCTGAGCATCTTTGGTAGTCTTACCCTTTATGTAAGAAGAAAAATCCCAAATTAAACAGTACCAGACCAGTGAGCTGGTCTGACCAGTGTCCACCTTGGGCAGCAAGGGTTTGGCAAGTGCCATCAGCCATTTGGTTTTGGCTCATGATGGATCAACACTGAGCATTGTGCTGCTGCTGTAGCTCTCTGAGGTCTGAAACAATGGGAGAGGTGGTATCAGCCAGGAGAGAGGCTTTGAAAGTGCAGCAGCTCTGCAGTGAAACACAAGGAGGCCTAGCCTAATTAGCTCTGAGTGATTTAAGTGTTGTAGGACTAGATAAGAGCCTTTTAATCAGGGTTTTAATGAGTTTTGTGGTCCAGTCAGCTCTTCAAGTTTGCTTTTGTCATGAGTGAGCTTGTTCCTTGTTGCAATAGAAGAAAAATTTTCTCTTGTCAGTATTAGTGTTGGCATTTTGTTGTGTTGGTGCTGATTCTGGGAATTATTGTCTGTCTTCTATTTATGGTGGAAATTTTGACATATGAGGACTTACTACCATTTAACTTTTTTTTATTCTTCTTCCCACTGGTGAAAACTCTCTGAGCTTTAACACTGTTAAATATTTGTGCTGCCTTCTGAGTGCCACCACTGCCCTCCCTGATCTCTGCTGCTTCCTGCTATGTTTAGGGTTTGCCCAGTTGTTTTTTTTCCTCCGAAATAAATCACAGGGGGAAGTGAGAAGGATGAAGGATCCCATAGTTGAAAGCAGGTTTTGGAGTCCTTTGACCTGGCTTTTTTATTAGGGAGAAAAGGGACAGAATATGGTATAAGCTTGCTTGTTAAACAGGTGTTAAAACTTCCCTCCAAGAACTGCACAGAAGGTATTTTTTGAAGGTTGGCCAGTTGAGCTTTGCTGCAGGAAATGTTTCATCTTATCCCATTTTTTCCTGGGGTTTGAGTTATTTCTAACTGAAAGTCCAATCCCTGCTTAGGAAGTAAACTTTGGTTAAAAGAAAGTTCACTTTTTCCATATGGAAAATGAACTGTCAGTAGTCCTGGGAAGAGTAGGAATGATTTGCTCTTGAGGATGGGTGAGCTGATGCAGAAGATTCAGAGTTAAACCCAAATCTGCTGAGGTCCAGGAGAACTAGAATTCGCCTGGATGATAAATCCCACGTCTGTGCTTCTCCACAAAGCTTTTTTCCCACTGTGGTGAGACTTAGCTTTTGGGCTTGTGCTGCTGCATTGTTCAGCACTTTGTCCAGTTTCATCTGTGGTCAGATTTACTTAAAAGGTGAAAAAAGACAAACCATGAAACCCCAGTGTGGGCAGTTCAGGAAATGGCACATCTCTCCGATGAAACCAGTTTGTGCTCTGCCTACTGAGAGCCCTGCTGCTCATTTGGAAGTGCCCCATGTAATGAATATGAGATCAATTACTTTCAAACAAGCTCCTAATATTTTATGGCAGAGTTTTATGCACAGTCCCTTCATCTCCCTTCAGAGGTGGGAATGAGATTTCCTCAGTGGGCTTTCCCAAGCCATGTACTAGTAAATAAAAGGGAGGGGAAAAGTGGATTGGAATGCCATTAATAATTGCTGGAATATGATGTTGGGAACTTTGGTGCTTCCATCAAGATGCTGAGTCATTGATAGATTGTGAGGCAAATTGAGCATGGAAACACCAGGCCTGCCATTTAATATTTTATCAGCCTGTGCTACTGTTTATCAGTGTTTTGTTGCTTGCTCTGCTTTTATCAGAAATGCAGTGGCAGCTGTAACCTTTGCCTGTGTGTATTATCTGAAGAGGTAATCTGTCATCATTTTCCCCACAATTAAAAATACTGCTCTTTAACCTTGATGGCATTTTGATTGCCATTGCTGATGATGGGAAACTACATCTGATCTGGAGCCTTGACCCTGGAGACTGAACAGGGAGTGCTGGAGCAGTCTGGGAAATCACCAATACTGGTGAAATACCAGGCATGCTGGGTTAAAGAGGCTGTGGAAAACAGTGTGGTATCAGGAAACAGTTTTAATCCTCATTAAACTAATCCAGTGGGATAGCTCTGAGTGGGAGAGGTTTGTTTTGCCTCCCAAGGCTGTTTGGCCTGTTGGCATGAGGATTTTGTGAGGCTAAGGCAGGTGAAGGAAAAGCTCAAGCTACACTGAGAATGAGAACCTTGTTTAGTCCTTCTTTTCCTACTTCTTCCCTTGTTCTTAAAAACTTGTCTGTGCTGTAATTTGCTTCCTGCTTTGCAAACACATGCCTTGCTGGTTTATTTATGATTTATTTTTTCCTCTCTTTTTTTTTTGTGATTTACTTCCATTTCAACATTCCTGCTTGGCATTGGCTGGAAAGCAAAGCCAAACTTAGCTTAAAGCCACCGTTGATAGCCAGAATGTGTTTGTTTTTTTTGTTTGTTTGTTTTTGTCTTGGCATTTCTGAAGCCTTTTTTGAGTGGTGGGATGTGAAATCCATTCCCTGTGGAGCCACTAATGCCTATTTAATGTTGTTCTGGAGATTCTAGCAGCATATTTGCATTCCCAGCCTCCCTCTTAGTTAACAAAACAAAGACCACCATGCGGCTGGGATGACATGAAAGTACAAATAATTAAACAATGGTAAAATTAAAAGAGCAGCTCCAGGAGATAATCAGAATTCCAGACCAGTCTTGTTGAAATAATACTCCAGACTAGTACTGCTGAGCACCTTGATGAATCTGATACACCTGAGAAGTGTTAGGATGGCTCTTTAAAAGGAAAACATTCCTCTTGGAGCTCTTGGGGGGATCAGCAAATATAAAATAAGGTGATCTGGTAGCTACAGTCATGATTTCCAAACATCTTTCTGAACAGGTTTCCTTACCTAAAGGTAGGGTTAAGGGGAAAAGTCTTTGCACAGGGAAAAAATTGATAAAATTATGTGAAATGGAGGGTAGAGACAGCTAATTGATTTTTCTTAGTAGAGATAGAGCTGAAAGAATCTGACCTGCTCTGAATGTTGTAAATTACCTACGAAAAAGAGGTGACAAGGTCAGTGGTATTGCAAATGTAGCAGTTTTATTCAAGATAAATGAGATGAAGTACTCCTGCTAGGAAGATTATGAAAGGACCTGGTGAGACTGACTGGGCTGGAAAACTGCAGAGCTGTCAGGTAATCCATGTGGGGAAAAATGATCTTCTTATCACCTGTTGGTTGGATTATTGCTCAGGGGTTGAGTTGTTGTAGCTGTTCAGGATACCTCAAACTTCAGGAAAATGGGGCTTGGAGCAGCCTGGTCTATGGAATGTGTGAGATGATCTTTAGGGTCCCTTCCAATCCAAACCATTCCATGATTCCATGCTGGATATCATGAATTAAGCAGAGTGCTCATGGGTGTAGCATCAATTTCTGTGTAACTTATGGTTCCTGCATATCTGCATATTCTGATTTAAAGGGATATAGCTCATGTGGAAAATTGTGGAAGGACTAAGGTAGGATATCTCAACTTGGAAAGAACACTATTGCAAAGCTCTGAGTAGAACAGATGAAATGGGACATGGCATCTACAAATAGAAAAAAATTAAGAGCAGTGTGTGAAGCTGTGCAACTCCTTGCTACAGGACATTGTATGTGCCAGAAATGCATGTGGACTGAGGGAAAGATTTGGCAAAGGAGTGATTCATTATCTAGAAGCCACCTTTGGCCCTGGAGACTTCTGAGCTGGAAATTGGAGGAGATCAAAGGAATGGCCTTCTGGTTTCCTCCCACAGACATCTGTGTCTTCCTGCTGTGACAGGAGGGATGTGAATGTGTCCTTAAACCTAAAAATACTTCCCTGCAGGTGTGTGTGGATGGGAAGGATACACGTGAACTGGTCAAGTGGACAAGAGAGGGAAGAGAAAGGGATTCAAGAATCCAAAATCTTTACAATTTTAAAATGAGTGAAGGGATCATAAATAGCAAGGGGAGAAGATGGGCAGGATCACGGATTTTGGAGGAGCTGGAAGAGTGTGGTGAATGTCAAGATCTTGGTGCAAAAACAAAGGTGGGAAAAAAGACAGTGTCCTTCACAGGGAACTTCTATGTGGATTGAAGGCTGCTTCTTTTGAACAGAAAACAGAGGCAGGGTTTGGATATATTTTTTTTTTAAGGGATGTTTTGTCTAAAGGGAGAGTCTGAGGAGTAGAGTCAGAAGGGCTCAGGCTCACCAGAGCATGGTACAAGGTGTGTGTCAGACTGCACAAACACCATGTCTGCACTGGCAGCTGCCAGGCTCTGTCCTGGCCCAGCACTGAATTCCTGCTGAGCTGATCAAAGTTCCAATCCACAGGCAAGTCTCCCAGTTAGCCAGTTTTCCATTGCTTTGGGTTGGAGCGGAGGAAACGCCTCCTTTTCTGACCAATCAAGATGTGCCTCCTGAAGGCTAAGTGTGTATTTACCTGTGCTAGATCAAGTGACCATGGGCCACTTGGAAATGATCCCCAAAAGCCATCATTCTTCTCTGGAGCAAGGGTCAGGTTTTCCTCTTGGCTGGTCCTTCCTGGCACAGCAAACCAGCTCTTATCTCTCCTTTGGCTGAGCGCTGTGTAACCTTTTATTACATAAACTGTCCCCTGTCATGGTACCAGTCTGGCTTGATTTGCTGACCTGTTCCTGAGGGAACATCATCTCCTTCTGGACTGCTTGATGTCCTCAGGAATTGGTAATAGCAGTATTCCTGCTGGTCATTTGGACTGCTAAACTGGGGAGGGACAGCTGTTCTCCTGCATCACTGGATCACTGTCTTCAGACTAAATCTGAGCTGTTCTCCTGCATCACTGGATCACTGTCTTCAGACTAAATCTGGTAAATGCTGCTGATGATTTGAAGGAGTCTCTCTCACATCCAATGAAGGGCTTGACTGTGTGAGCTCCATTCCCTTCCCTGGACACACTCCAGGGCTCTCAGGGCCCAGAACTGGACCCAGCCCTGGAGGTCCCTCAGCAGGGCCAGCCCAGGCACCCCTGGGCACCCCTGTGCTCCTGTCCAGCCGCTGGCACAGCACCCCCAGGGCCTCTCCTGACGGGCCCTTTCCAGCCCCTCTGCCCCAGCCTGGAGCTGCAGGGCTTGGGGTGACCCCAGGGCAGGACCCAGCACTTGGCCTTGCCAAACCTCTCACTGCGTTGGCCTCAGATCAATACCTGGAGAAAGTTTAGGAAGCTGTATTTAAAATATCTGTAACAGGCTGGAATTCCCAAACAGGTTTTCCTCAGGAGTACCACAGGCTCAAGGCATCCTTCAGCCGTGGTCGTTGGTAGCTGTGCAATGTGTTGGTGTTTTGTTTTAAAGCACAGGTTCTTGCTCATCCCTTATGCTTCTTTTCTTTTGTAGCTCCAAACCCATTTCTTCACCTTTGATTGTCCAAGTTGGGCATGCAGAGACCCTCCAGCCCCTGCTTGCCCTGATGGGTTACT